GAGAGAGAGAGAGAGAGAGAGAGAGAGAGAGAGAGAGAGAGAGAGAGAGAGAGAGAGAGAGAGAGAGAGATTGTCCTTTAGATATTGGGAGGTATCCTACCATGAATCTCCATCCAGATGAGAAGATTTGAACCCACATCTACAATCAGAAGTGCCTAGTGCATTCAGAAAATCAAGCCAAAGTTCTCTTAATAGGAACAGTAACTCAGCCCTCAAATATCTTGTGAATACTTTTCAAATACTAAAGGTTCCTCACAGCACCCCTGTGAAGTTAGTATGGACTCCAACTAGTAAGTAAGGAAATCAAGACACACACAAAATTCAGTAACTTAGGTAAGTGCCACATGAAAAGAAAGGATCTGAGCCTTAATGAAAACCCTAGGCGACTCCATGCTTAGGCCATTTGAATCTACAGTCTTTTCAAAGACATATAATAGAAGTCAACTTGGAAACAATACACAACATATAGTGTGATGGATACAGAGCAGTTATACAAAGGGGCTCAGGATTCCATCCACACTTTCATGTGATAGCTCAGGGCTCCTGTAATCACGGAGCAAAGAGCAAGAAGGAGATCCGAAGGACCAAAGGAAATAGGATATGTGCCTTCCTTTGACCTTTTTTCAACATGCTTAGAAGTTTCAAGGTACTTTATGCAGCATTAAACTTTTTTAAGATTTGTAATTAGTTGTGATATTTTATACCATTTCCTTTTCAATTTTCCCATTCCTCTCCCTTCCCCATCCCAGCCTTACCTTGTTCCCAGGAGGAAGACAACTAATTCACAAAAATATATAAGATTTCCCTGCAGTCTACTCCATGCACATATCATTTGTGTTCTGAGTACATGCTTATGTTCCTTGAGTTCCCCATTTCGAAGAAGGAAGCCCCTTACAAGGTAATTATAGTATCGTATAAAACATTATATATCCTAGAAGCAAAATTACTGGAGTAAATTTTGCTCAGAAACAAACATGCACTCATTTTTAATGAGATTTCAGAGGAGGATACTAAAAGACAGTTTCCAAGCTGCTGCCTTTCATATCAAATATGAAATATTTACTTTCATCAGACAGTAAAATAAACCTCTTAGTAATTGGAAGAGGCAGAATAACCTAATCCACAGTCTTTTAAGAAATGACAAGTGAAAAAAAATTGCTAATTTGTATGACCCAGCAGAATTTGGAAAAATTGTTCAGAACATGAAATACAGCTTGAAAAAAAACTATTCATTCCAGGCCTATGCATACTGGGTCTAAGGCAGGATTCCCATTGGAAAGACTCTCAGGAAAGCAAGGTGCCTTCTTCATGAATGTGATTCCCAATTAAGAATAAGAAACTCTCAGAGTTGGAAGAAATCCTAGAGATCATCCTATTCAACCCACTCCTGAGGCAGAAATCCCTCTGTGGCATATCCACTCCATTTGCAGTCCTCCAGTAATGAGAAACTCACTTCTCCTATTTCCCACACCAAGAAACTTCCTAAGGGTCAGGGTTTATGCCTGATTTTAGATCAACACTAACTTCCCAATGCTTTTGCTCTTGAACTAGGATCAGTTTTCACTGTATGTGTAAACTGAGTAAATTAAATTTCCAGGGAGGTAATATTTGCATAAATAATACTAGTATGATATGCACCCATGCAAGCCACAGAACTGCAGGTTAAGTTCTAAGAAAAACAGAAAGTTGCATTGGTGATATGTGCTTAATTTCACATTTTCTGTTTTGAGCATTGAAGCAAATTGAGAAATGACTGCATGACTGAGATTTTTTTCACATTCTTGTGAGTTGAATCTGAGTTTTTCATTGCTGACTTCACAAGTGCTCCCACAGGAGAGACACACTTTTTATCCAGTGCTCACACGATAACATGGAAACAAAAGTGCAAACTGAAAGTATTGCACCAGGAACACCAGCGATCGGTCCACGATGAGTGATTTGTATAGAAAAACTGGCATTCAGGATATTCATCAGGCACAAAGTTTAGCATTTTTCTCAGTGCAAAGTTAGTATAGTGTTAGTCACCCCACCCCATATCAAAGATTCTACATGCTGTGGAAGCAATTGTGGGTGTATACTCGTCAGGCATCTCCTTCCATTTAGAATGGTAAGGGACTGAAGGACTATGTCTTCTCCTTACTTTGTAACCCCATGGAGCCTGGAGCCATGCCAGGAGCACAAAAGGCAGCTCAACCATCAGTATGGTCTTGAGGATTATGATGGAGTCACACCTTCAGGCTAATGCAGAGAATCATTTAAGCTTAATTCACTTGGTGAACTCCTGCTCATGTTGGTAAGACTTGCCATCAGTGACTTAACTTTGTGGGCATAGTAGTCCCTTAGGTTGACTGAAGGAACCTCCTTCATTCCATCTCCAAAATCGCAGCTGCGCATGGCACTTTCAAGTTGCTTTTGTCGCCTATAAAAATGTGAAAATTTATTGAAGATCAGAGTTATTGGCAGCACCACCACAAGAATACCAGCAAGGATACAAGCTGAGGCAGTCAGCTTCCCAGCTGTGGTCCCTGGAACAACATCACCATAGCCCACAGTTGTCATGCTCACAGTTGCCCACCACCAGCAGGCAGGGATTGTGGCCAGACCTTCGTTTTCTTCTTTCTCAATGGTGTAGGCCACTACAGAGAATATTGATATGCCCACTGAAAGATAAAGCAAGAGGAGCCCCACCTCTTTGTAGCTATATTTCAAGGTTGCCCCTAGAGACCGAAGGCCAGTGGAATGTCTGGCCAATTTTAGGATGCGGAAAATCCTCATGAGCCTGAGGACTTGAGCCACCCTGCCTAAATTGGCCAAGGTGGGAGAACTCTCCACTACCAGGTTGACCACCAGGGTGATGTAGAAGGGGATGATGGACATCAGATCAATCAAATTTAGTGCATTCTTAAAAAATTTGAAGAACTCTGGAGCCACAGCAAACCTGGCCACTAGCTCAAAGGTGAACCAGGCAATCCCAAAATGTTCCACAATTTCAAACCTTGGGTCTTCCTCTGGGTTGCCTTGGCTATCAGGGATCAGAAAGTCAGGAAGGCTGTTGAGGCACATGGTGACAATGGAGCCTAGTACCACCATGATGGAAAGAATGCTGAATACTCTGCTCAGAATGGAATAGCCTGGGTTATCCAGGGCCAACCATAGCTGTCTTCGGAGATTGCCCAAGGGCTGCCCCTCAAACTTGGATGCATCATTATAGAAGGCCAAGATCTCGTCAAAGGAGGAGGTGGTGCTCTCCTGGTCACTTTGCTCATCCCATTTCTCCTGATCAGGCTCCATCTTCCTTCCGTGATAGCTATAGCTGCAGCAAGAGTCGATGAAGAACTCATTGATACCCCAGTACTCTATCTCTTGACTGAAGGAAAAAACGCAGAGCTCTCCCATTACGTGTAGTTTGCCCGTGTTATAGAAGTGCAGTACGTAGGGGAAGAGCTCCGGGTTCCGATCAAAGTAGAACTCGTTCTGCGCGTCGTCATAGTCATCACACAGCTCCAGTATGGACTCCTTGGAGCGGCAGTGCAGAAGGCGGCCCAACCGGGTCTCCGGGAAGCGCAACAGCGTGTGCGAGCGCAGCTTCTTCTTGAAACCCCCAACGTTGACGCTGATCTCACTATCCTCAAAGTTGGCTTCGGACAAATCCGACAGGCTCTGGCCCGTCATCGTGGGGAAACCCGGGGCACTGACTGGGAGCTACACCTAGAATTTGAGCGAACAGGGAGGAGGCGATGAGCGGCAAAGGGGAAGGGACACGCATGACTAGCGTTGGGATTTCCCTCTCCTCTCCTCTCCCCACCCCCCTCCCCCAGCAGCAAGACTTCAGGATCACATAGCGCATTCTAACGTAACGGTTCCTGGGGTCGGACTAGGTTTTTGCTAGTTTCTGCAGGGTGATTTTTTTTTTCTGGGTTAGTTGGGGGTGGGGTGGGATGGGGATTGACCTCCTTGTAGATGTGAGAAGTGGACCCATCCCTTGTTTCAATACCCACTCGGAGCATTTCTGTAGGGTGGGGCAATGGCTAACTACATTTCCCGTCTCTCGTCCCTCAGGCCCCTCAGTCCGTTGACACTGGCATTTTTCTCCTCACGTTGGACAGCTCAGTGAGCTATCCTTGCATCTCTGATTCTGGCAGTCGAATTGGAGGTAAACGTAAGCTGAGATAGGATCCCAGCGGGCGTGTGGATGCCCCCTCGCTCCCCTCACCCACCCAATCCAGCTCGCTCCCTGGGAACTGGACGTCTTGATTAAGAGAAACAAGGCTTTGGATGGGTATGGAGGAGGCTTTGGAGCCAAAAACTGTTGTCTGTCTTTTCAAATAATAAGGGAAACAGTGATTTAATACCCGCCACTACTTTCCCTGCCTAGTGCTCCTCCTCTCCAGCGCTTCTTCATGGGCAGCTGGAGAGTCGCGCGCGCGCGCGCTTGTGTGTGTGTGTGTGTGTGTGTGTGTGTGTGTGTCCCTCCTGTTACCTCCCTTAGTTTTCCATCCTTCTTGTCAGCTAATCAGGAACCGGTTCTACCCTGGCCCTCTTTCCTTTCCTGGCTCTGCGCCCCAGAGCCTCGTGCGCTGTGCGCTGAGCTCCCTGGATTTTTTCAGCTCTCCCCCTGGCAAAGCCGATCTTCGGAGAAGAAGGAATCAGTTCTTACCTGAAATCTCGGGAATCGTCTGAAGATCCAAGTGCGAAACTTCCCAGACCACCTTCTTAGCATTGCTGCTCCTGCTGTTGCTGATGCTGCCCACTGGATGTTAGTGTGTGTGTGTGTGTGTGTGTGTGTGT